TGTGTGTGTGTGTGTGTGTGTATATTGAGTATATTTTACTTGAATATCGTGAGAGAAATACCTTGGCCTCAACGTATAGGTACTACATACGCTTGTTATCTATATCGGACACAGTCGATTGACTTCTTTCAAGATATCCGTCTCGCTAGTTGTGTCCTTTTACGATTCGATCAATTGCAGCAATACAAGTGAATGTGTTGGTGACAACATTTATATTAATGGATTATTGTATACCGCACGAGAAGTTTATTATGTGATACAGAGATTGTACATTGTATATATCTTGGTTTCTTCAGTTTCATTCTACACGACTTCTGTTGAAGCGATTTATCTCAACGAACCCGTTGAAAGTTCAAAATCTTCATCAGAACTATATAATATATCATACGTTTCATTTTATAACCGTGTATAAATAATGCGATTCAGTCTTTCATCATAACCCATAATGGTTTTCACTTCATATACCATTCGTTTATTTCATTGAAAAACTTCATATTTGTGTGTACGAAATGGTTTTAATGAAATTATTAAAATTGAACTTAACAGCGAGTAATATAGTCAGTAATAAATTATAATTATTCTTATGCAATGTACATCAATTTGATTTACATATCGTAGGAAATTAAAAAAAACACTTCTTTATGTGTATTTCTGTGCAGGTGTAAGATTGGTATGTTTGGTCTTTTAACAAAAGTACGTTTTTACAACAATTTTGTATTGGTATACATAATGAAACCCTAATGATATTTATATTAGTATAAAATGTTGGTACTATACAATGTAAACAGTTTTAAATTGTAATTCCTTTTATGACTACATTTTGTCTAAAATTTCAGCAAGTCACTAATGATGTTCATTTCTTAGTAGTCCGTGAGCCTGAAGGTATGAATTTTTTTTAAATCGTGTTTTTCAATAATATTTTGTTTGGAACTCATATTAAACAAGTTTTTTTATAAAGCAATGTACTCGATTCTATATATTCACAAATTTGTATATACTATTACGAGTAATATATAAAAATGGATAGATTTCATTTTTTGACCAACAAAATAAAAATGTTTACAGTTCTTATAGTATAATTTATCTCTCATTGATCACTAAATCAACGTTGTTTAATTAATGAACTAGAAGTTAATAATTATATAAATTAAATTTATTGAAGTTTCTCTATACATGAATTATGAGTATTAATTTAAAAATGAATTCTAGCTAGGAATCGGTTGAAACCTGAAAACAATTTTCTTGAAGTTCACTTACATTTTGACTGGTGGTAGTGCGGTGGTTGGTTTAAATTTTTAGTATAGATGTATTGTGTATGATATATATATCTGTTGAAACCTTTGGCGGAAATTAAAAAAATGATCTTCCGATAAGGCAAAATCTTAAGCTCGGTATCTCGTATCGCGTGCATTATTATTCGAGGAAGAGGACGAGAGACATCGTGCCGCCTCCTGGCTCGATTACCTCAGCGATGTTGACCTAATTGCGTTGGTGGTGGCGAGACTTGGTGACAGTTTATGTATATCATAATACGTAGCCCACCTCGGTAACAGTAAACATATTTAATCGTAGAGGATATTCCTGAAACTTTACCGCCGGCAAAAAAATATTTTATGAGACGACAAGGAGTCAGAACGAACATACACATATTACGATCTCTGTATTTTTATTAATCGATGTTCGATGATATAAATTTTAACAGAACACAAAATACTTGTTTTGAATATAGAAATCTCTTAAGCATAATTAAATTTGGATAGAATTATGTAAAGTTCCATATAAATAATACAGTGTAATTTCTAAAGTAAGCTCGATGTATTATGTACGTTTAAGAGTGGCTGCAAATCATACGAAATTTAAAATATAATAATAAAACAGTACCTATTTCTAGTGGTGCATAAGTCGTATGTGTTCGAATTTTAATTTGGGGCCTCGGAACTTAGAGCAGTGAGACTGGGCGTCGAGCCCTTTTGTGATGTCTACACAATAACAACACAATGTTCGATGGATTGTATCGTACATAATAGTACAATAATAATTATGAGACAATAGTATCGTGCGGCGGCGGTGGCGCATGTGTCGTACACTTTAAAGACAATAATTGCTGTGCTGCAACGAGGAGAATGTGTGGTGCACGAGCAGCTCACGGCACCCGTCACTGATGCGTTTACGAGAGGTATTATTAATATGCACTTAGGACGGTGACTAGATAACGGGCGCCCGCGGTGTAGCGAAATAATTGAGCTCGGACGATTTGTACTTTCGGTACACACATTGTACACCGTTCCTTCGCGGTAGCGGCCGTAAACGCGTTGCAGTGTCGGCGGCGCACACGATGTGTACATAATAAATATGTATACGGATACGGTAATCACAATCATTTGCTTTGCTCCCTATTAATCACTTCGGCTGCTGCTGATGCTGCAGCGCACCCGAATCTCAGTATGTACGTCTTTATAGGATCTAACTCGCGCGCGCGCGTCAACCACAACCGCCGGTCATCCTCGCATCTCTATTCTGTACAGCCCGATTTTACGACCGCGCGCGTATAAACTGTACACCGTGTCATTATTATTATTATTATCATCGTCAAACCGTCGGGTTTGACTCGACGAACCGTGAGAAAATCGTCTTGATTGACACGTTGATGAGAACCGTCGTCAGCGGATTTCGTCGGATTTCGTTGTGTGCCCGCGCGATTAAAAATAATAACACTCACGCGCGCGCGCGTTATACGTGTATTTAATACATCGAGGGGAGGACGTGCGCGCGCCAATATTCTTCCAAGTAGTGGTCGTTGCTGTTGTTAGATTACAACTACGATGAATGTCCGAATGGAAACATTTTTTTTTTTTTTTTTCATATAATACGCGCGTTATTATTGCGCTAGAAACGACTAAGCGGGACACGATCGTACACTTTGTCTTGCCTCAAACTCCTACTGATGTATTTTTTGCCGAGCGAATCTCTCGGATCGATCGAAACATAATACCGTATTGATTTTTACGCATTAGTCTTGCGGGTCGCGTTTTCGGCATTCGATGTGTACGAATAATATTCAACATCGCAGCCGAGTTAAAAGTGCCTGCCGTAAATCTATAATGTCCTAATTTTAATGTTTTATTTACATGATATGCATGTGAATGTGTGTCTATGTGTGTGTGTTTACTAATATTGGTATTTTCATATGTTTTTGAACGAGTCTATTAGTAATATAATAACCAAAAAATAATTATATTCAAGGCTGCAAAATAGTCGACTAAGCACCGCATTTAATCTTCAATAGTTGGTTTATGTTTTTACTTCATTGATATGGTAAAAACAAAGACGTTTCTTACTACCGATTTCAAAGTATATATAATATATTATATGTTGTAAATATCGCTGTAGGTCCAATTTTAACTGCACGATTATCGATCAAACGAAAAGCGACGAGGGAGGACGTACAAGGGATTCTGTGACAAATTTAAATTTTTTGAAATAATATTTACAACCAGAACCGCAATGATTGTTTACCAATTTTACGGTAAAATCAAAACAACTGTGTTCTGTAAATAATAATATCACTAAGCAGTCGTATAGTACAAAATCATAACTTATGTAATTAAACGTATATAATATAGAAATTAACCTGAAATAATTTAATTTATGAACAAAATTCCGATGTTAAGATCCTCATCAATCTTCGAAATAATCTCATTAACAAGTGAAAAATCGTATTGTATTTAGTGGAAAAAAATTTGTCTGTAATATCTAGATCGGTAATAAGCTAAAAACATTGACGGTTGTCCAAACGCCTATTTCATTAAATTATTTAAATGCACTAAATGTAGATACAAACTTGTTTAACTTGTATTAATTTTATAGTTAGTTGCTATTCATTTTACATCTTAGTAAAAAATAAACCGTTAATAATATTACAATAATAATGTATTTTATATGCATTTATCGTTTTATTGCATATATTTACTACAATCATAACAAGAAAACAGTAATTTTAACGTTAATTATTTTTATATATTTTTTCGTTATTTTAACAAAAATTATTGTTAATTTTAATTTTTTATTTATTTTATTTCATTATTTAACTCTATATTCAAATAGTTAATAGTTAATAAAGATATTATATACAATTATGTATATATAATCCAATGAGTATTTGATGGTAGTTGTTATTTTAAAAATTTTATTATTTTATAGTAAATTGTTTAACTAAGTTTTCGTAAGAAATACCAACAAATTTCAAATATACATAATAAGAATAAATATATCTGTGGCTGTTATTCAAATAAGACATTTCATTAATTAATAGATAATTAAATTTATCTACTCAAACGTTTTTGATAATGTTTAGTTAAAAATATAATTTTAATAACTTGATAGTTAAAACAAGATAAAAATTACGTTTTTATTACGTGATAAAAATATAATATGTAAATAAGATAAATGACCAACATTATTCACAGCATTTAATATATGTCGTATGATATTGGTATTTAAATTTATTTAGTGATATTTAAGCATTTCCACGTCGTGTGTTCCGGACCTCTAATTATTATTTATGACTTCTATAACGTATCAAGCGTTATGCTGTTAAGTGTGGGCGAATATTGACGCATTCAATTTAATTTTAAACTGTATTATATAAATACCGTAGATAAAAAAAGATGTTTGACTCGACGGCTAATAAATCGTTATCAAACAGTTTGCATGATACTGCGTTTGGCAAATTATTATTATTATTATTATTATAAATTCTTATATTTTTTTTCTTGTACAGGTTGTACACGTTAAAATATGAACACGTTTATTTATATTTATATATTATTTATAATCAATGTTAAATAAAAGCATATACATTAATCAAATATCAATTCGTTGATTAATCATTATAATACGTGTCTGTATTATATTTATAAGTGTATACAATTATATAGATATTAATTAATTTTTTTTTTTTTTGTTTGTTTTCGGTCGATCATTATTATTCTCAAAAACAGGATCCTATAACTGTAAGTAAACACTTTTTATGCAACTTCATTTTGTATTTTAAATGTAATTAATTGTTTTTACGTTTTTCATCGACTTTGGTTGACTCGGCATTTTTCTGGATACTTCAATAGAGCGTGAGTATATATATATTTTTATATTTTATTAAAAAACTATGTTAATAATATTTTAATTGATCAATATATATAGTTGTACAAATGGAGTAATATTATTTCATAAGTCGTTTATATTTTTCAATCAATTTTTTATTTTATTTTATTTCATATAATCTTCTGAATCTATACAAACCCATTATAGCCACTGTATATATACATAGGTATACATATTTATATTGGATAGATTTATTAAAATGTGTTAAAATTTTGAATTGAGTACTAATTGAAAATACCGATTTTTTCTTCGTTGACACTTTTAATGCTTTCCTAATGATCGATACTCTCATCAGTTTTTCTATATAATAAACAACATTAACCAGAAAACGTTTTCCCTCGATCATTAGCATAATGTACCGAGTTATATGCATACTATCTAAATAATGTATACGGTCAGATTTTTTTCATTCAAACGTTTTGTTGACGTGTTAAAATATCGTATTCAGTTTTTTTTTTCCTACGCCGTCCGCATGAATAAAAAAACTGATCGATTTCATAAATAATAAAGCAAAACGATCAGAGTGGAAACACGAACTGAACATCGTTCCGGTTTAGTAGGTTTAACTCGTGATTAAAAGTATACTTGTAAACACATTCGTTGTTGATAATGAAATAAACACATACATATATGCTTATACGTTATTATAATATATACGTACGAAATATTAACTAAATACAATCATGGCCGTGTACAAGTGTGTAGAACGAGTGTTTATTATTATAGTTTGATCAAAAATTGTTGGAACATTAAGAGCAGCATACACCGGCGGTGTACGCTGTTATCATACGGTTGTCGCACCCGGTAATCCTTTGAAATTAAACCATAATTATATAAACACCGCGTTATCCGAATTCGAAAAGTAAATAATAATTAAAATAATCATATAATTTGCTTCGATTGCGCCTCATTCGTGGAAGTTTCTATATAAAGCGTATATTAACCGTTGGGGTACATTATTTACATACAAATAACATAGTATTATGTCCGCGTTGGATTTTTTTCATTCGTGGTAAGGGATGCACGCTTAAATGTATAATACAGTGAGATACGACAGCAAAATGCTGTTTTTAATAGTTTACGCAGCAATCATATATATACATGTATATTGTTGTAATATATTAAATAATTCCTCGGCACACAAATGTATAATATGTAATGTATAACGCGATGTAAAATTTTAGACGACGCCCGTGTATTGCATACGCCGTCCTAGGTCATAACCAGTAGTAGATCTACGCGTATTCGAGTATTATTATATATTTTATAGTAGGTACGTCTGATGCACTCGTGTATTATAATATATTAGTAATACACCCGTATTATTATTATTATATGCTCACCGATCGTGTAGATATGGTTTCAGGTGGGTTTTTAATCTCTTGGTACTATCGCTTTTTTTTTATTTTATTTTATTTTTTTTTTTACATAAAAATAATATTATATGTATATATTTCGAACATTATCCGGCCCCGGGTGTCCATTAATTCAGAGCACACGTATACGTGTATAATATTCGATGACCAGCGTGTAGCTTTATGTTTAAAATTTCTACGTCGGATATACCGGCTATGTTATCCGTGTAAACCAAAATATTATATTATGTACCGCTGATATAATTTTTTATTACGAATATAATGTGGAGTCGCGGTCCGTTGCGTTTTTAATTTTTTATAAATTCTCCGCGATCGACCCGTGCGATAGTGTCCGCGGGAGAACTATTAAGAAATTATACGAATAATACGGATACATTTTTTTCCCCTCACCCCTAGGAAATTTGTTCCGCGAGCGCGCGCGCGCGTGAGAAGGCGTTCGGTCGGTCAGGGGCCTCGGGGGGCTGCGGCGTCCGTGGTATATAACCGACAATTAGAGCGTTAATATGACGTGGCCGAGATTGCCCCAAGGGCTGTGCCAGGGATTCTACGCGTTCGTATCGGTCTGATCCGCAGCGACGATAAGAGCTGGTGATGTGCCCACAAAGCTACGGAAGCCGTTTCGGGTCGGATGAGGAAAAAAAAATTACTGTTTAAATATATATATACGTATAATACGTATTAATGCGTGCGCGTTTGTGTATGCCATCGTAAGTACTATTCGCCGCCGCAATAACTCCCTCCGGGTCTATGGTTCATGCTAATGAGGACACCTGTCCTAATAAAATTTACATTCATTTTACATAAACATTATTTTTTTCATGTTTTAATAACCGCGTTTAGAAAAACGTAAGTTCGAGCATAAGGTATGTGTTTTGATATTGTTTCGTTGTAATGTTATGTATTTACGGTGAGAGATTGTTGTTACAACGGTTTATATTGTTTCATTATTATTGTATACTTATCGTGACGCCTCGAATGTCATCGGAATACGAAAACTGCAGTAGCGTAGTGGACCGCTGTAAACGTTTATCCTATTCGTATACGGTTGTATTTACACTGTACTTTCGACGTTTCTATTTATATCGTACATTTACAGTAACCCGTTTAAATTTTTATGTACCTAATAATACATACATCACGTTTGGTCATCGTTGAAACGTTTGACATTTTTGGAGAAGTTAAAAAAATTAAAATCCGCAACCCAGTAAATCATATACTGCAGGATCGTTAACATAAACTAAATTAGAAGTCTTCGTCCTACAGTATACTATACGCTGACGATTTCAGTTTGTGTTACACATAGTGTACAAATACATGTATAATTACAATAATACAACAACATGGTCCTTACACGTAATGAATATGATATAATTATTACTATTATTATTGTACAATCGCTATACAGTGTACTTCCTTTAGTTGACACAATAAAGTGCTCTATTGTACAATGATTAACATACCGGAATTTGTTTTCGTTTAAAAATAAAAGGATTCTTGCGTTCTCAATTCTCGTCGAGGCACTCAGTGTGTAATAAATCATTCGTAATTAAATGGTATTCGCGAATTACTACGGGTTTCCACGACGTGTCGTCCCTAAGAAATTCGAAAAATCCAAATTATTTCTTCCAAAGTCTTCCAAAAATATTTTTCCTCTATAAAGTCTGCATGAGCTCGAGGAATGTTTATAGAGATAAATAATTTTATATTATTCGCATTGATCAGTTTCGACACGATTTTAACTGGTTATGTTATTTGCTTTCCTCTGCACGGTGTCCAATAATGTATTCCATAGTATTTTTGTTCGTTGTGTTTGTTTTTTCTTTTGTCATATTTAAATAGACTTATAATGGAATAGTTATATGTACTAATATAAAGCCATCGTTAACATTACTTGTACGTTTATATTTTGTAATATTCAACAGTCGGTATTCACTGGTATAATAATATTGTTAACGTTTTCAAAATTAAAAAGTTTTCAACCGAATGTGCGAAAATATTATTTTAATTGTATTAAAATCGAATCGTTAGTTATTGTTATTATGCAATACGTTTAAATACATAATCGTTAAATATATATTTAAGGATAGCATAAAACCGCATTATTGACATATTTCTAAAATTCGCTGATTGAAAAATGTAAGTTGTACACACTCATATTTATATTATATAACGTATAGTGGGTATTCAAATATTGGAAAATAGAATGTTTTCGAAATAGTGTTTAATGCAACAATTTTAGTATGAAATTAAAAATATTTTCAATTAACATCGTATAACAATATGTACGTTACGCCAAAGAAAATAATCGCATTTAATTATAAATATATATTATGTAGTACGTATATAAAACAAAAAAAATTCAAGATTATTTTCGAAACGGAACAAGTATGATGATTTATGTTGTTAATGAATTTGTCAGTTGCAAAAAAGATGGATCGTATTTTTTTATTTACTACGTGTACACATCACAATACGTTGCATACGCATTGCCAACATTTAATGTCGCGTATGAGTAACCGGCCCGTAATGATGGATTATAAGATAATTGCTTTAGGTATAAGAGTATAAAATTTAAAAAAAAAAAACAAAAAAAAATATGGTTATCCGTAAAACATTTTTATAGAAATTTATAACCGCCCGGTTGTCCGACCAATTAATTTTTTAGAAAATTAAAAAAAAAAAAATACGATAAAGACATGTATTATACTTTCTTTTGGTCCTCTTCCGCCCAGTCACCGAAACATTCGGAAAATGTGAGGCGATCTTTCACGATGCGCGCGCGTTCAGAATACGAAAACTCCTGTGTGTGTACTTTTTCGGTCATAATTTTTGAAGAATGTGGTCTTACAAACGCGCATACGCGCTCATATTTATATATATATGTATATATATATATATATATATATATATATATATATATGTGTGTATCGTAATATTTACATACCGCGTCGTTCTCAGCGTCTACACACGTAGGCTAAACTTTTTTCGGTAGGCGTCGTCGTTTCTGTGTACGGCCGAGGTAAAACAATATTATACGTATATACATTTTTTTTTTTTTTTTATGATATATGTTTCCTCGGGTTTTCTACCGCGTTGCTCACCATAATTCAGATCCACCGCACAGATATCCGCGTATAATTTATGTGTGTTCAACCAACACGGTAGCCTCCGAGACATGCGTGGATATACGGCGCGGGGTCCTTATCACGAGCCGAGATTTTTCGTCGTCTCCTGAAATTGGCTTCCAAACGCACGCACACTGACACATGCACGCACACGTTTGTTCGCACACGCGGGTACGCGTGCATTAAATAAATTTATGTGCGTGCGTGTATGTATACGTTTAATAATAATTTTATTATTACCGTTTGTGTTATTATGCACGTGTGTGTGTGCGTATACGTTCGCGGTACAAGGGGTGTCCTCGATTTTTGTTCGCCCAAAATTTATGGGCTCATGACTTTTGGCGCTGTCAG